GTTGCCATGGCGACGGGGAGGCTCCTTGGTACCCAGGGCTGGCGCTAGGGGGCGCCAACGTTGCCATGGAGACGGGGGGGCGGTATTATGGGATGGCAGGGCGTTGCTAGGGGTCCTCCCCGTTGCCATGGAGACGCCGAGGTTGTTATTATGGGATGGCAGGGCGTTGCTAGGGATGCTCAGCACCGTTGCCATGGAGACGGGGGAGCAGCCCTGGTACCCAGGCCGTTGCTAGGGGGCCCCACCGTTGCCATGGAGACGGCGGGGTCCTTATTATGGGATGGCAGGGATGCTCAGCAGGGTTGCCATGGGACGGGGGAGCAGCCCTGGTACCCAGGCCGTTGCTAGGGGGCCCCACCGTTGCCATGGAGACGGCGGGGTCCTTATTATGGGATGGCAGGGATGCTCAGCAGGGTTGCCATGGCGACGGGGAGCCTCCTTGGTACCCAGGCCGTTGCTAGGGGGCCCCACCGTTGCCATGGAGACGGGGGGGGTCGTTATTATGGGATGGCAGGGCGTTGCTAGGGATGCTCAGCGCCGTTGCCATGGCGACGGGGAGCCGCCTTGGTACCCAGGCCGTTGCTAGGGGGCCCCACCGTTGCCATGGAGACGGGGGGGGTCGTTATTATGGGATGGCAGGGCGTTGCTAGGGATGCTCAGCGCCGTTGCCATGGCGACGGGGAGCCGCCTTGGTACCCAGGCCGTTGCTAGGGGGCCCCACCGTTGCCATGGAGACGGGGGGGGTCGTTATTATGGGATGGCAGGGCGTTGCTAGGGATGCTCAGCGCCGTTGCCATGGCGACGGGGAGCCGCCTTGGTACCCAGGCCGTTGCTAGGGGGCCCCACCGTTGCCATGGAGACGGGGGGGGTCGTTATTATGGGATGGCAGGGCGTTGCTAGGGATGCTCAGCGCCGTTGCCATGGCGACGGGGAGCCGCCTTGGTACCCAGGCCGTTGCTAGGGGGCCCCACCGTTGCCATGGAGACGGGGGGGGTCGTTATTATGGGATGGCAGGGCGTTGCTAGGGATGCTCAGCGCCGTTGCCATGGCGACGGGGAGCCGCCTTGGTACCCAGGCCGTTGCTAGGGGGCCCCACCGTTGCCATGGAGACGGGGGGGGTCGTTATTATGGGATGGCAGGGCGTTGCTAGGGATGCTCAGCGCCGTTGCCATGGCGACGGGGAGCCGCCTTGGTACCCAGGCCGTTGCTAGGGGGCCCCACCGTTGCCATGGAGACGGGGGGGGTCGTTATTATGGGATGGCAGGGCGTTGCTAGGGATGCTCAGCGCCGTTGCCATGGCGACGGGGAGCCGCCTTGGTACCCAGGCCGTTGCTAGGGGGCCCCACCGTTGCCATGGAGACGGGGGGGGTCGTTATTATGGGATGGCAGGGCGTTGCTAGGGATGCTCAGCGCCGTTGCCATGGCGACGGGGAGCAGCCCCGGTACCCAAACCTTCCTGGGAGCGCATCTAGCATCCCCACCGTTGCCATGG